CTGTAAAAGTTAATTAAATATTCAACTGATGTATCCAAGGGTTTGACCAATTCTATATTGAAGATCAAGTCTTTGAGAGCTTCTGATTATGATGGATCAGTGACGATATATGCTAAGTAACTGACAGGTGAGAAAGTAGCCATGGATCTGACTGGATGAAAGGCTGAGAGGCGTAGCTATGATAACATTTATGAACTTAGAAGGGACAAGATAACTACTGACGTTTAATTGTGACTTAGCTGCTACAAATTGGGCGGCTTCCACTTCTTGTTCACTATTTTCTTAGGGAGCTTTAATTTCCATTTTTGTGTTAATTAATTTATAATTTCTTTCCTTCTATTTATAAATTTTGTAAATAACAAACTTATCATACTAAAATCTAAAAAAGTTTACAGCCTAAGTATAATTTTAGTTCAGGCATTATACGAGTATGTAGATTGTGTATCTCTTCATATCCCGTCTTCCCTAACAAATACGGCTATAATTTTCACGGATACTATAATTATCAATTTCCACTCTCCCTGTACTAAATTCTGTAAAATCACTTAGCTTGCTCGCATTCCGTTCAGCCGTAATGATGCGCATAGGTCGTTACGCACGTCACCCGAGGCAATGCGCCCGCGCCTACCGCAAAAGATTGCAGCAATAATCTTTTATGCTGAAGGATTTTCGTTCTAAAATCTAGCAGAAAAAGCAAAACTGGTTCAGGATTCAGTTAAAAAATCGCGTAGCATGATTTTCCTGAATACAATACTATTTACATGTCAAACACATAGCAAGTGTGATCGACGACTCACTAAGTGCAAATTTTAATGCTTGTTCATGAAACAACCGTTTTGCTTTTCTTGCCAAAGTGTTAATAACTAAGCTCAGTATAAGCACTCAAACGGACTGGAACTTACACCTGCAATTTACTTAATTTTGAACCTAAATCTATCAAAATGCAGAATTTTCCAAACTCTTTTTGAAATACCATCTTGATAAGATTCAATTAATATGGTAACCAGGGTAGTTTGCCATGTTTGTAGGGCAGAAACATAAAAAATAACTTTAGCTCAAGAGCTTTTATCGAAGATCGCTTGTGATGGCTCATTCTGTGAAGTCAACTTTTAAGACAGGTCATGCTGTTTATTCACGCCAATAGATCTGTCAAGTATAATAACCTAAATAAACAGGAATACAACATGAGCAAGTGGCCGATGGAAAATACCATTGCATCCCACTTGCATAACCCATTTTGACTTTGAATTGTCTTTCTTTCAAATTTTGAGCTTTTGAGCATCTCACAAACTTAAGTTAGGTTAATCTCTCAATAATTTTTTGGCCAATGTGAATATTTAAAATTTGAAATCCACGGTATCGATAGTAAATTAAAGCACAATAATTAGATTTGCGATATCAATTTGGGCAATATCATAAGGCAGTAAGTTTAAAGACATTCAGCTTAACTAATTTGCACTAAAATAGTCCTGTTTAATTCACAGTTTCGTTTTGATTCGACAAGCAAGTTTATTACATAACATAACTAAGAGAAATTGACTTTTAGCCCCATCTTTGTGATATTGGCAACCCTAAAAGCTTCTAGGCAAGGCCGCGTAGATTCGTACATAGTAGTTTCAAGACCCCTTGCTTCGTACATAGCGCCATCTAGTTACAATAAAAAGTTCTAAAACCTTCCTCACCGCTCAGATTGGCGATTGGAAATTATTATATGCAGGTAAAGCTTAATTAAAAACATTAGAATGTAGTTGCAGATGTTCAGATGAATGTGTAAATCATGGTTTTCATTATTAAAACCTATTTTCGTTTAAGTTGTCATCGGCAAACAAATAAAGCGCGACTTTTCTTGTAACTGGTGCAAGCGTAGAGATACTGTAAGTAAATAGTTTTTCAGCGAGACGCCAGATGGCACTGTGCTTAGTTAACTCACGCGAGCATTTGCATTTTTCATTTTATTTAATATGCTTATCTGAAAAAGCTTCGTCAATTACAAATTAGTAAAGGAAGTTTTTCAAAGTTCTCCAATTTTCACAGGACATAGTGAAATAAAGTTTTTGGAACCGGGGAGACCGTTTCTATACGGTCTTCCCAAATAAGCTAATAGTAGTAAACATAATGAAATCACCACGCTTTCGTGAAATAAAAGAGCTAATAGTTTACTCACTAAGTTGAGACTAACAGTTTAAGCTAACAAGTGGTGCAATTGGTATCATATAGCTAATTCGTACTTAACATATTTCATCTTCGAATCGATAACCCAAAAATCCTGGGGGGGCACCAGACCAGACCATTATGATTCTGGTGGGCTGGAGTTTAAGGAATTTAGCCGAAAACTCTATTTTTATCGAATTGTAGAGTCTAAACAATATCAGAAATAACAATTAATTGGCATACTATCCCAAAGCAGTGATAGAGTTAAAACTGTACTCACTGGGACATCTAAAAAGCCTAACTGTAGAAAATAAATGACTTTCAATAATCTTATAAACGCGAAAGTTTGTATGGATGTCTGGATGTTTGTTACTCTTTCACGCAAACACTACAGAACGGATTTTGATGAAACTTTACCGTATTATTTTTTATAACCCAGAATAACATATAGGCCATAATTTATGACGATTTGTGACAAACTAAAGTTCACGCGGGTGAAGCCGCGGGCAAAAGCTAGTGTCCATATAAAATACCCATGTCACCAATGGAACTACAAGATCCAGCTCAGTAAATTAACTGTGACATAGATAGCCGATCATCCGTCAGTAAATAACTGATAGCTACTAGTTAGCGATGTAGTTAAACTTCTTGAAAATGTAAATCATTCGTTTGACATGAGCAACTTACAAGTTTTATTTTAAACCTTATGCAGTTAATCATAAGATTCAAGGATTAAATCTATTTTATAGTTACATAAATGATTTATAGTTAAATCTTAACTGTGTCTACAAGCATGCTTCTGTATTACCGGTATTAGTTTGTGACCAGGAACTCATAGCAATTTGTCAATCGGTTTATTCATTGATTCCAGTGTGTAACATTAATATAACAGTATAAGACAGATCAATATAAATATAATTTGAAATTAGAAACCACAATTCACTAAATAACACCCCTTTATAAGAAGGCTATTCCTAATATTATTCTCTAGCCCGAAGTACTGTAAGCTGAAAGAACCTAGCCTCTCCTTAAAAAAGTTAGCCTCTGATTGAACTCTGATTTAAATTGACATTAAGGCCGAGTTGCACCACCTAAAAGCACTAACTTTAACCGGTGTTTTTTGTATGGAGTTTGACAGATTTTTGACGTTCGTTTAAGTTAAAGTAAGATGGTGCAACCCAGCCCAGCTAGTACGGAAATGACATTTTTAACCAGTGTTTTTTGTACGAGTTAATAAGGCCCTAACAGTACACTATGATCACTCAATAGGTAATCAATTTACAGACCATAAAACATTTCATTCAACCGAAAATAATTATTAACTTTAACTAAAACAAGAACCCCAATAGAAGTTAAAACCGTTTAATAACATCTTTCGAATTGTACAAAAAGGTATTAGTTAATTTATTTAAAGAATTATTCGACGCTAAAGTTTGCACCCATAAAAATAAATTGTACAATATCAGAATCTAACCGCGACGCAATAACGAGTTATAATAACTTAACAAAGTCATTACTCTTAAAACATAATTAAAAGCAGTGGTTCCCAACTTGTAGCAGCAGCCCACGATTAATTAATTTTCAAGTACTTACCTACATAATAAATTGTAAGATAGGTACTCCTCACTTTAGGTAATCTGTCTTCATAAATTTTCTTCTTAGAGTAATTGATAATAATCCATACTATGTAGTTCATACTAACTAATATTATTAATTTATGCGAAGTAACTCTGTCTGTCTGTCTGTCTTGCTTTCACGTCTAAACCACTGAACCGATTTTGATGAAAGGCAAAGAGAGTTTGAGTCCCGGGAAAGGACATAGAATAATAAAAAAAATATCCCGGTTTTTTGAAACAGAGACGCGCGCGATAAAGTTTTTTTCTATGACAGACAAAATTCCACGAGGGTGAAGCCGCGGGCGGAAAGCTAGTAGTGACCTAACCAAGTAATATCCTATTCGTTATTTTGTTTGAGGTAGGTATAAGTAGATTTCGATAACAGTAGGTAGATTAACGCCCGCACGCGTAACGCGTAGGTTGTAGAGACGGAGAAAAATTCTTTTTTTTACCTGATCTGACTTACTAAAGATGTATTGTAAAGATGATTTTCTAGGGCGCAGTTATAGAAGTTTGTATAGGGCGACATTGATTTCATATAAAGTGGGTTATGTCCTACAGAAGATTGGCAAACGCTGCGCTAGCAAGCAAAGCTTCGTATTAACGGTACCTGGGCAGTGCTAATGAACTGCGCCTGCGCCATTTATTAACCCGTCAACTCACATGCTTTTATTAGAGATTTATTACACTAAAATATGAAATATGAATGAGTTATGAGGTTTCTATGAAAAAGTTATTTTTTAATCAACTATCAGCAAGTCAATCTTAAATCATGTTTAAATAGTAGAACAGAATAAATAAAAAAGTCATAAAAATGTTATTATGGGAACTAATTATTGTTAAGTAAATTTTTTCTTTGTTTTCCATCACCCTAACCGTTAGAGACATCATATCGTAACCATAATGTGTAGGACTCCAGGCTACGAGATTACCATAATTATACTCTATTATAGCCCGTACTCAGAAACCATAAATGGAATAATTACTTAATTTATAGCCATTTTATTTTGCATAAGTTCATCCAGTAAAAAAATCACCGGCCTAATCTTAGGATAGTCTGTTTTACATCTGCGTAGTAGGTACCAAATATATCACATTCCTAGGTAAGAAAGAAAAAGTTAATTTCGAAACTTTCAGTCGTATAAAAAAGTCACAAAATTAGTTTGCAATCTATAACTCTGTAACTTTTATTCTGTTATGAAAAATAATTAAATACTTGTATTTTGTCCACAGGTTCAAAATGTTGAAGTTATTAGTATTTGTGTGCTTCGCGTCCCAAGTCTTCGCAAACAGCGATGACCGGTTCATCAAGAAATACGCCATGATGAAGGTAAATAACATTACTTAATAGAATGTAAAAATAAAATATAATTATATGTTTCAAAATTATGTATTAAAAATATTCAAAAAAGTTCGCAGTCGGTAGGATTCGAACCTACGCTCCCAGAGGGAATCTGATTTCTAGTCAGACGCCTTAACCGCTCGGCCACGACTGCTGTTGTTGAAGTGACGAAATTTAAAGACAAGAAATAAATAACATTTTTAATTTTTATTTGAGTACCTAACTACTCTGGTAAAATATAAAAAATTGTCAAACTAAAAACTCTTTCCTTCATAGATTTACGAAAGCTGTTTCGGACCCGAAGTAGTGAAACAAATCCGCAAAGAAATGAAGGAGGCGTATGCAAAGTGCTCCGCACCGCCATCTGTCGAAGAACCGCCGAACCCGCAGATACCGTCTATATTGCTAGGAAAACTCCCGCCCGGCTTCTCGATGGACCCGAGCACGCAAACCATCATTAAGCCGCTAGATGGCGCTATTCACAACAACCAAGAAAATGAACACAACCAAGACCAGCCAATGCCACCTCAGAAACCACCCATGGGACCAGGAGGAGTGCCATTTAATTTCAGGCCACATGCGGTAATTATTAAATAAATAAATATTATTTTATTTAAAATATTTTTTGTCAAGTAAAAAAAAATCAACAATGCAATCGTGTAGGTCAGGTATTTAGTACTCGTGTAAAAAAATGCCAAAGAATAAAATCAAATCAAATTTTAAAATAAAGTTATAAAATAAAAAACAAAAATAAAAAAGATTTCACAGATGCCTCCTGTGAGGATTGAACTCACGACCCCTGGTTTACGAGACCAGTGCTCTACCACTGAGCTAAAGAGGCGATGAGTGGAGTGGCGAAATATTAGTACCAATTCTNTAATGCCTGCATAGCTAATGAAAATTCAGCCTTCTAGTTTTATCCACAACGAAGTTACAGGCAGTCGAAAATGGCCTGAATTGCTTCGAGAAAAGGATGGTACGGCCGTGCCGCTTTTTTGCTCGACTTGGTGGGGGCACTGCCGTGCCCTCAGATCATGCTAGCTCGCATCAATACTTATGACTATAATTTGTATATTTTAAAGACTGTAAACCCTTGAAAAGGAGGCTGACAATAGTGACTGAGTTTCTTGCGCTGCTTCTTCTCAGCACTGGCCCATTTATTGTCCTGAAGCAGTGGTAGGGTTAATATTGGGACGTGTATAAGTGCTTTTTAAAAGCCAATTTGCAAAAATAAATTAGTTATGAGTTTTATTTTTTATCATCTTCTCCTTAACAATTACTCAATTATGTGCACTCTAGGTAGGTAGACAAGTTGTTTAAAGCCTGTTGCGTTACTGTAGATCTGTGGCGAATTTACCATTAGGCTGGAGTTTAAGGAATTGGGCCGAAAACTCTATTTTTATCGAATTGTAGAGTCTCAACAATATCAGAAATAACAATTAATTGGCGTACTATCCCAAAGCACTGATAGAGTTAAAACTGTACTCACTGGGACATCTAAAAAGCCTATCTGCAGAAAATAAATGACTTTCAATAATCTTACTTCTACCAGTCTTACTAATATTATAAAAACGATAGTTTGTATAGATGTCTGGATGTTTGTTACTCTTTCACGCAAACACTACAGAACGGATTTTGATGAAACTTTACAGTATGATTGTTTATAACCCAGAATAACATACTATAGGTCATAATTTATGACGATTTGTGACAAACTAAAGGTCACACGGGTGAAGCCGCGGGCAAAAGCTAGTGTCCATATAAAATACCCATGTCACCAATGGAACCACAAGATCCAGCTCAGTAAATTAACTGTGACATAGATAACCGATCATCCGTCAGTAAATAACTGATAGCTACTGGTTAGCGATGTAGTTAAACTTCTAGAAAATGTAAATCTAACGTGTACCTAATCATTCGTTTGACATGAACAACTTACTAGTCTTATTTTAAACCTTATGTAGTTAATCATAAGATTCAAGGATTAAATCTATTTTATAGTGACATAAATGATTTATAGTTAAATCTTAACTGTGTCTACAAGCATGCTTCTGTATTACAGGTATTAGTTTGTGACCAGGAACTCATAGCAATTTGTCAATCGGTTAATTCATTCATTCCAGTGTGTGACATCAATATATCGGTATAATTGAAACCACGATTCACTAAATAACACCCCTTTATACTTCCTAATATTATTCTCTAGCCCGAAGTACTGTAAGCTGAAAGAACCTAGCCTCTCCTTAAAAAAGTTAGCCTCTGATTGAACTCTGATTTAAATTGACATTGAGGCCGAGTTGCACCACCTAAAAGCACTAACTTTAACCGGTGTTTTTTGTAAAGAGTTTGTCAAATTTTTGACGTTCGTTAAAGTTAAAGTAAGATGGTGCAACCCAGCTAGTATGGAAATTACATTTTAAACGAGTGGTCGTCCCGGGTTAAACAATTTTTGTACGAGTTAATAAGGCCCTAACAGTACACTATGATCAAAAGGTAATCAATTTACAGACCATAAAACATTTTCATGCAACCGAAAATAAGTATTAACTTTAACTAAAACAAGAACCCCAATAGAAGTTAAAACCGTTTAATAACAGTATTAGTTAATTTATTTAAAGAATTATTCGACGCTAAAGTTTGCACACCTATAAATAAATTGTACAATATCAGAATCTAACCGCGACGCAATAACGAGTTATAATAACTTAACAAAGTCATTACTCTTAAAACATAATTAAAAGCAATGGTTCCCAACTTGTAGCAGCAACCCACGATTAATTAATTTTCAAGCATGGACGACAGCACATCAACCTAAACACAGTGGCGTCTTATCTCGTTGTGATACAGGCTATTTTGCAACAAAAATGTAAAGGTATCAACATCTTATCAAGGTCTGTGCAGCAGTGGACGACCTATGGTTGAAAAGATGATGATGATAGGAATAAAGATACTCAATTTTACTTCATTGCGAGCGGTTTCCATGCAAATGGTGTAGGTTGCGGGGACGGAGAAAAATCCTTTTTTTGACCTTCAGGTCAAAAGAAAATGGTCACATCTTTAGTCAGTCTATTCATAGACTGACTAAAGATGTGACCATTTTCTGGGGCGCAGTTATAGAAGTTTGTATAGGGCGACATTGATTTCATATAAAGTTATGTCCCACAAAAGATTGGCAAACGCTGGGCTAGCAAGCTAAGCTACGTATTAACGGTACCTGAGCAGTGCTAATGAACTGCGCCTGCGCCATTTATTAACCCGTCAACTCACATGCTTTTATTAGAGATTTATTACACTAAAATATGAAATATGAATAAGGTAAGAGGTTTCTATGAAAAAGTTTTTTATAATCAACTATCGGCAAGTCAATCATATATCACGTTTAAATAGAACAGAATAAAGAAAAAAGTCATAAAAATGATTTCTTTTTCTTCCGATTAGCCTTTTAAAAAGCGCTTTTACACGTCCCAACATAATTTTAACCCTACCACTGCTTCGGGACAATAGAAGTACTATTAACAAATTACCATCATGTTTTTAAAAGGGTTACAATAGTATTAAAAATTCTATTTGTGGCATTAAAGTGCATGTCAGACTTGTAAGACAGTGTTAAAATTAAAACGTTCTTTATTACTATTCCCCCATTGTTATGGGAACTAATTATTGTTATGTAATTTTTTTCTGTGTTTTCCATTACCCTAACCGTTAGAGACATCATATCGTAACCATAATGTGTAGGACTCCAGGCTACGAGATTACCATAATTATACTCTATTATAGCCCGTACTCAGAAACCATAAATGGAATAATTACTTAATTTATAGCCATTTTGCATAAGTTCGTCCAATAAAAAAATCACCGGCCTAATCTAAGGATAGTCTGTATTACATCTGCGTAGGTAGGTACCAAAGATATCACATTCCTAGGTAAGAAAGAAAAAGTTAATTTCGAAACTTTCTGAAAATAAGTCGTATAAAAAAGTCACAAAATTAGTTTGCAATCTATAACCTATATGATCTGTGCTATAACTCTGTAACTTTTATTCTGTTATATGAAAAATAATTAAATACTTGTATTTTGTCCACAGGTTCAAAATGTTGAAGTTATTAGTATTTGTGTGCTTCGCGTCCCAAGTCTTCGCAAACAGCGATGACCGGTTCATCAAGAAATACGCCATGATGAAGGTAAATAACATTACTTAATAACATGTAATAAAATTTTAATTTATACGTTACAAAAATTATGTAATAAAAAAATTCAAAAAGTTTCGCAGTCGGTAGGATTCGAACCTACGCTCCCAGAGGGAATCTGATTTCTAGTCAGACGCCTTAACCGCTCGGCCACGACTGCTGTTGATGAAGTGACGAAATTTAAAAACAAGAAATAAATATTAATTTATTTGGATATTAGTGAAGTCAAAAATGCAGATAATTTCATAAACGCTTAATTTTTTAATTTATCTTATATATTTTGTATATTTCAATACAAATAACAACCTGATATTTTTATTTCAGTACCTTATTACTCTGGTAAAATATAAAAAATTGTCAAACTAAAAACTTTTTCCTTAATAGATTTACGAAAGCTGTTTCGGACCCGAAGTAGTGAAACAAATCCGCAAAGAAATGAAGGAGGCGTATGCAAAGTGCTCTGCACCGCCATCTGTCGAAGAACCGCCGAACCCACAGATACCGTCTATATTGCTAGGAAAACTCCCGCCCGGCTTCTCGATGGACCCGAGCACGCAAACCATCATTAAGCCGCTAGATGGCGCTATTCACAACAACCAAGAAAATGAACACAACCAAGACCAGCCAATGCCACCTCAGAAACCACCCATGGGACCAGGAGGAGTGCCATTTAATTTCAGGCCACATGCGGTAATTATTAAATAAATAAATATTATTTTATTTAAAATATTTTTTGTCAAGTAAAAAAAAATCAACAATGCAATCGTGTAGGTCAGGTATTTAGTACTCGTGTAAAAAAATGCCAAAGAATAAAATCAAATCAAATTTTAAAATAAAGTTATAAAATAAAAAACAAAAATAAAAAAGATTTCACAGATGCCTCCTGTGAGGATTGAACTCACGACCCCTGGTTTACGAGACCAGTGCTCTACCACTGAGCTAAAGAGGCGATGAGTGGAGTGGCGAAATATTAGTACCAATTCTTAAGTCATCAATTTTGTTTATTGATTAAAGTAAAAATGACTATCAGTTTATTTAATTAGGACTTTATTATTATTGCTGTTTTTATAATTTTACCGGCAATTGTTTTTTACTTAGAATCTTACTTATCTAAGTTACAATTAGTTTGGTAGTATTGGTACTTTAGAATATTCTACACCCTACTACGAGTATAATTAATTAGAATTAGTTATTTTTTCATTTATTGATGCATCGATTGAATTTTTTCTTTCCAATTTTTATGATTAATTTAGGGAGCAGCGTTTTTTAATTATTTTTAAACGTTGTTGCACAAAGAAAAGTACATTGAAGAACATTTATAAGCTCTTACTTGCTTTTCTTTTAAAAAGCATTCATCCTTTCTTTATTATTAAAACGCCTTAGTTACTAAATCATAGGAATGTATACTAAATAAGGAAGTAAAGGTTATAAATTATTAAAGAAATTATGAGTGCTTTTTAAAAGCAAACAATTAATTATTAGTAGAGATTTATTTTTTTCAGAACCTATCCGCGAAATCAGCCTCTCCCACCCCCTACATAATGATAAATGACCATAACTTTTATTTTTCAGAACCCCTTCGCGCAGCCAGCCGTCCCCCCCTTCATGATGAATGGGAACCCCCAATTCCGGCCGTATTCGCCCGCAGCCCCCTTCTACCAGGTGCCTTACAACCCTGGCCTGTTCTACCCCCAGGGGTTGTACAACCCCTACGCGCAACCGCAGTACCAGCAAGGGTTCTACCAGCAGCAGCCTTACTTTGGGTCTAATAGGGTGGCGGTAAGTTGTATTTTTTAAACAAGCATGTTTTTCTTTTTTTTAATTAAAAATAAGCGAGGCCGTTGTGAGTTTTCATTTTTTTTTTTTTTTTTTCATTTTTTAACTGATGAAAACCCTGACACAAAAGAAGACACCAGTTACCTATTATTAGCCACCTTTCTTTACTACATCTGAAACTTTATCAAGAAAGGGTTGAGATTGGCCCTTAGTTCACTATATTGGCTACTTTAAAAAGTTTTTATTTGGATACGCAAAAGTAAGCGTGCAAAAAGGGTCTTCTTAACTCAGCATTTTAATCGTGTCAGAATGGTACTGATTTTCATCCGGTGACTTTTAAGGCACATCCCTTGATCAGAAGTACCCACTTTAGCACAAACTTCGACTTCGAACTTTATCGATGTGCAAATAAAGATCGTTTGCTTTGAAACAGCGTGATATGGACCTCCGTGAGCGCCTCGACGTCATCTCCCGCGGGCCAGCCGGCACACGCGTGAAGAACATCACGTGTGTGATGCAGGAGCTCGGCTACGTGGACCACAGCCTCGAGCCCAACTACGAACAGATCACGCAGCGGATCAGCGACCTGCCGGTGTCTTCCGAACTCAAGGGCGACATCCAGGACGGGCTGCAGTTCTGCAGGAAGTTCTCTGTAAGTAGACGTGATCCACGAGCTAGCTACATGAGTGTGTGATGCAGGAGCTCGGCTACGTGGACCACAGCCTCGAGCCCAACTACGAGCAGATCACGCAGCGGATCAGTGACCTGCCGGTGTCTTCGGAACTCAAGGGCGACATCCAGGCCGGGCTGCAGTTCTGCAGGAAGTTCTCTGTAAGTAGACGTGATCTAGAACATCACGTGCATGATGCAGGAGCTCGGCTACGTGGACCACAGCCTTGAGCCCAATTATGAGCAGATCACGCAGCGGATCAGCGACCCGCCGGTGTATGTTTGTCCGTTGTCAGGACTGGCTGCAGTTCTGCAGGAAGTTCTCTGTGAGTAGACGTGATCCACGAGCTAGCTACGTCACGTGCGTGATGCAGGAGCTCGGCTACGTGGACCACAGCCTCGAGCCCAACTACGAGCAGATCACGCAGCGGATCAGCGACCTGCCGGTGTCTTCGGAACTCAAGGGCGACATCCAGGACGGGCTGCAGTTCTGCAGGAAGTTCTCTGTAAGTAGACGTGATTCACGAGCAAGCTAAATCACGTGCGTGATGCAGGAGCTCGGCTACGTGGACCACAGCCTCGAGCCTAACTACGAGCAGATCACGCAGAGGATCAGCGACCTGCCGGTGTCTTCGGAACTGAAAGGCGACATCCAGGACGGGCTGCAGTTCTGCAGGAAGTTCTCTGTGAGTAAACGTGATCCACGAGCTAGCTACATGAGTGTGTGATGCTGCAGGAGCTCGGCTACGTGAACCTTAAGGATATACTCATACCTGTAGAAGTTATTGGTAGAATAACTTTTCTTCAATTTTGGTTTGGTTAGGTACTAAATCCCTAATATCTGTAAATTAGCAATCCATTTTTATTTTGTTGTTTTCGATACTAAATAAATTTATTTTTGCAGCAATGCGTGCCAGACGTGAAGCGTGATATGGCGCCCTTGTCACAGGAGCTGATCAAACCGATGTTCTTCTTCCGATGCTATAAGGTAATTATTGTAGTTCTTTATATGAAGTATAGATACAGATAAGCTTTAAATAACAATTTTGTATTTCAGCACAAGAAGCTGGAGGCGTGCATCATGAAGGACATCCGTGAAAGATTCACCACTGAGGAGGAGCTGGACACTGACACCGATTTTAGGTAAATATCTCTATATTATTCTTATTTTACATATTAATTACTATTTCTACTGTCAATAGCCCTTTTCAATCGAGAATGAACTTTCTAGCAAGTAGGATTTTAATCGTTCTTCAATTTAAGCCACAATAGTCGAACGGTGAAGGGGTCGGACTTGTAGAATCGCGTCCGGGAAACGCGGGTTTGGTCCCCGCCGTCGCTCGACTATTGTGGTGAGCTCACACTCAGCATATTAAGCTTAGTACGAAGGGCTAAATGCATTTACTTATCATCAGCTAGAGAGCCGCTTCCAACAAACCAGCCAATCTGGAAATCATTGGGGGAGGCCTATGTTCAGCTGTGTCTGTCCTGTGCCTGAAATAATGATGACGAAGATGATTAATCATCAATCATGCATTGTGACTGACGTGGATTCGTCTTCGTGATTATACAAGCAGTCAAAAACTAATTGGAACAGCTTCCACAGGTCCCTCTCGCGGTCCGCCCGGTCACTCCGCGACGATCCCCTCAGCGACCCTCGGTTCGAGGCCCTGGACGAGATGGCGGTCTACCTCTACGACTACCTGAGCGGAGGGAACGGACTGGACTTCGACCTGTATATGTAGATTAAGGAAGAGGGGTTCCCTTGCCAATGCTTTTGAACTAGCTGGCCCAGCGAATTTGTACGTTGTTCATCAGAAATTTTAGGATTCACAGAGCATGGAATCGCCGCGCGCCGCCCGCTAGCGTCGATTCTTTCAAATCGATCCAGTAGTTTTGGAGTTTATTCAAATCAAAATACAAACAAATAATTAGTTTCCACGTTATGATATTAGTTTGTTTTCTCTTTATAATAATAGTTTGATTAGTTTTTGGTAAGTCAAGAGCTAAGACATTAGTATGACTTGCATGATTCACAAAGAAGCTTAATGTGGTGCATCTATGATTGGGTAAGCAATCTTGATGGCATATAAAGCGTAACAGTTGCACTGCAATAGTAGCTCTTATATTGTAGAGAATAAAGACAACTTCAAAGTCAAGATGTTACGTCTAATGTGCTATTTATGAAGCTCTACTTATTGAAATATGTTGTAACTTTATTTATTAGAATTTCAAAGAAGGATTTATCAAAAATGTTTTAAAAATTTACTGAATGGGCGCTATGAAGACTGGGAACCTCTGCTTGAGACTGACTTTAATTTTCATTTTAATTTTGTATAGGTAGTTTGATAATGAGTTTGATAGAGATGTTTTTTACGATCTTTTTGTTCGTAAACGAAACGTTTCGAAAATTACTTGTATAAACATTGCATTTATTTTTAATTTTATTGTGTCACAAAGTGACTTCAAGCTCAATTATCAAATAAAATTCAACCAATCACAGGCTTGAATTAGTAGATTTTTTTATATTTACTAAAACTTGCTTTCGTACTTTTCAGCCAGTAGAAAAAGGTCAATATTTTCCATGTTTAGAATATAGTTTCTTATTTCCACCAGATTTTTAGTAACTAATGTGTCTTTCAATACGACAAGCTTGCCATTTGTTGCATTTATTCCTATTTTTCGGGGTATAGCGGTTAGAAATTTCAGGGAAACTTGCTGCATTGAATCATGAATATGTTTTTTTTTTTTTTTATGGCAACCAAACCTCTCTGGGAGGTTTATTTCTGCCAATGTCGAGTGAAAATTGACATAGTTATCAATAGAACGTGGGTGTTTCAGTTCTATTGATTTATCATGGATTCCGTGGAGTTAAGTATGTTCGTAAGCAGGTTTCAAGACGCCACCGGGTCCAAAGCGGGTTGTTCATACGACAACCCACTCGACACTCGATGCGCGCTCAAATTCGAAGTATTTCAATGTTTTTTATAATTTATCACTTCACTGCACTTTAGAACACAAAATAACACTAAATTTGTACACTAAAGTCCATTAAATAATAAATTGAAACCATTAAAACAGATCGACCATGCTTCCCGTTCAACTACCCTCCACGGAATCTATTTATTTTATTTATGTAGGTACCTAATTGCATTTATGATTGAAAAAAGTCTGATAAATTACGGAGGGTCGTGCTCCTGCAGTGAAGACTAATTCCCGTTTTCACCATCAATCCCTTATTTTTAAGTGACCCCTATGGTAACACTTAACAGGAATTTTTCATAGGGGTCACTAGGGGTTGATGGTGAAAACGGACATAAATGACCTAAATGATGAAAATATTCAACGATTTCAGTTATGCTAAGTACAAAATGTACTTTTTTTGTTTGTAACACTGTTGTAATGATATTCAATAACTACTTAATTAACAATGTTAATTTACAAGGCTAAGTAGGTAACAACAAATATTTAAATCAGCTTTTTCACTCAACATAAGTATTTTTTACGAAATATGTATTTGTGACGCACGTAACATATATTTTTACATCTTTGTTTGCGTTTTGAAAACAATTATCTTTGTTTAACTGTTTAAACACGTGAGAAATACCTTTTACGAGATAATACACGGTTTTTTATGTCAGTATTTTAGTATAAATTAACGTCATGTAAATTTTTTAAGGTCGGAATTAGTAATAGAGTTGTGTTATTGTGAAATGTTCACTTTTTCATACCTAACTTGACTGTGTGATCATCCTTCGATTTGCTAGCATTTGACTCTAACATAAAGGTACAGTTACACTTCGTTACCAGCATGCCACTATTGAGCATTGCTACACACCTAGTAGCAATTAGCATGTATGTCGAATCGAAATATTGCTAATATTAAGCATGCTCATTTTGAGTTGTTCCAGCACGCTTGTTTCAAGCATGCTAATAAGCATAAAATTCTATGAGCATGAGTGTACTGTACCTAAAGATATGCTTGTCGAAGAGAATGACATAGTTCTGATTTATTCTTCCGAATATTGGGTTAAATTATCGTTACTTAACCCTTAAAATGATTCATGTAGCAAGTACAGTTCTTGTCCAAAAAGCTTCCACTGGCGGAAGCTTTAGCGATGACAGCTTTTAAAATAGGTTGTATAATTAATTTATAGACGTAATTGTATAAACTGCCTAATGAGATTACACATGTAATTGAATGCATTTATTACGGAATAATTACTTTAAGTAATGCCTAGATATAAGCTTAATTTAAGTTTTTACACTGTAAGCAATTAGATTTATTGAATAAAAATAAAAAAACAATCTGTGTTTCATTATACGAGTCATTTATAGCAGAATATTATCCAAACGACTATATGTATCTCTATCTATTTGTAGGAGAGATGTAAGCTGATCGAAACTTAATATTCTCAAAAATACTATAGGATTTTTCCAAATCATAGGAAAATACCGGGAACTTTGGAAAAATTACCTGAACTTCTCATATAAGATACATTTGTGACGAATTAGTACAACAATGTTCTTTATTTCTCTCTTTCCAATGCTTACTTATAATAACATCCAGACAAACAGTAGTACCCTACACTAATTTCGTTATTAATTTCACTACTCGTTTCCCAGTAGCCAACATTGTTTCTTAAATATTAAAAACAGGCAAAGGGCACTAAAGGTGAGTGCCTATCAAAGCGCACGTCATACCGGCAATTTTCTTGTCTCCGTGAGTCCAAAGTTCACCATGTAATTAAGAACGATTCTTGCGTGTACAGAATATTAGATTAAGTGCACTCTGCGGTTGTGGGTACGGAATAGAAATCAATGTTACTAAGCGAAAATTTTCGAATTTGACTCATTGACGTTTTACCACGTCTCCTCTTTTTGAAGTTGAGAGTGTTTTGGGGTTTCTAGTTAAAAAATACTTATCAAGATTATTACTTGACTTAAGGTCCTGTCCCCTAGATAGGGTAGGATTTAACTTAAGATAAAATAATTTGTAAAATTTTCGTAACAGCACTTTCTTCACCGAATGCACATTTTTGTTTGTGTTAATATGAGATTAAAATGTCTAACAAAAAATTTCCAAAAAATGAGAGTAGATAATGGGTGTTCGAATATTCATACTTCACAGAATTTCACATAAAATCAACATATGTATTTACGAAATCTTTTAAAATCCCACAATGTAACGATCGAACAGAAAAAACACATCTGTTTGTGAAATTCAAAACCCTTTTGTTGGGACGAACATTTCGAAGAAAGGGTCCGTTTATTTTTTGCCAAAATGTAACAATAAAAAGCCGTGGACGTTATTTTTGTACGAAACTTTCTCCGCGCTTTATTTAAATGCAAACCCTAAATTTTGGCGAAAAAATCTGTACCTGATCCTTTTTTCTTGCTCTCCTTTTGTGGGAAATTGGACCAGTTCTATGTGTAACGACGAAGTTACCTACCGTTTGCTGTACTTTATGTTTGTTTTAAATGGACTCTTTTATTTTTGAAAGACATTGATAAGACCTCAAGAACTGTTTTGAATCTGAGAATGTTCCTTGTTCTGTTGAAAATAACAACAATAAACAATAGAAAGAAAGCGTTACTAATGAATAACAATAACAGTAAAAGTAACATGTTATTGTAACCGTCAATGCGTTTAGAATGGGGTTTTATAATGGGCATTACGGTGTTTAACCAGACATTTATGTCTGGAGTCTGGACATGGTTATAAAATATAATTTATTGAACGTTTATCACAACCTAGTTATCGATTTGTGTCTGAAACCATCATAAACTTTATAGACCGGTGTAATTGTCATTACCTACCTAGATTTAGGCTGGGTTGCATCATCTTACTTTAACTTTGACAAACGTCAGAAATCTGTCAAGCTCCATACAAAAAGCACCGGTAGATAATCGTCAAAATTTCGGTCAAAGTTAGGTGGTGCAACTTAGCCTTAAAGACGACGTGAGATAGCACATCATGCTATTTTCCTACAAAATTGTATCTCTCGACTGTACCTAAGTATTTTACGCACCTACTTTGTAAAAAATGTGAATAGGTAACTAAATTAGCTTTTAATGGAATGCGCAATAATGAATTTCATAGAGCAACAAGTAATATTTAAAATTAGTTAACGACGACTTTTCACTGAAGATCGGCTGCCCGAAAAGTAAAAGGTCTCAACTCTTACCAGAGGCAACCGCACAGACACAGAAATATAATAAGCTTCAATTTAGGATAGGAATTAGGAATATGAACTCAGAACTGAGCCTCAGAAATAATATTAGACCTAAATAGTCTAGACATGGTCAAAAAGCTGAAAATATAATGAAGTACTTAAATAAAAGGATTGTGCAAAAACTTCACCCACGTAGTTTCTACATAACAATAAAATACATTTGTCATACACATGCCCGGCAGATGGGATAGCAAATAAACACTTATTATGTACAATGCGTTTCATTTCACCCACTCATGCTCACTCAACCCGTCCTGCAGCTTTTGTGCGAAGGGTGAGTGAGAACAAAATGGACACAATATTAAGTAAAAAATGATTAAAATTACAAACCAAATACCAATGTCAACTGAGGAGTTGTGAAAAAACTTAAAATTTTTTAGTGAAATTAAAAAAAGAAATTCAACTTACCTAATTTACAACTGGAAAACAAAATACATAAAGGGTCAATGATTTGATTTATGATGAGCAAAGTACGTGATTGATGATATTCCAAAAAGTGTAATTTAGGTAGTTCGATAACTTTTCAAGAATTCTGGAAGAAGATCTTTAAAATAATGAGCTCTCAATGCATTAAATTAGCATTTTTGACCAAATGAATAATTTTCAAAATGTTTTTTAATATTATGTAACTCAAATATTACCCCATTATCCTCTTACCCAAAATATGGTCCAAATACACCTTTTGGTACAGGTAAACAAATCTGGAGAGAGATTTTTGTCAAATAATCGCTGCGCAAGTGGGTACAGTCGCCATTTGAAGTTGCATCTTTTTCGTCCTTACTACTATTGTTATTAGATCTAGCATCATTTGACATTTGTGATCTTCGCGGGTGTGTACTCAACAAATGATCTGAAAAAGGCAAAAGATGAAGGATTGATGTAAATGGTTAATATTTTGCGATCTATTGAAATATTTGAATGCAACATCCGCAAGGTGTGTTCTGGAAAAAATGGGAGAAATGTTGTGCAGTTGCTTTCTTCGGGGAAGGTTTATGTTTTTCAAAAGCATTGTTACAACAGATGACACTTTTTGATAGATCCTGATTATTGTGAACCCATTGATGGATAATATTGATGACCGAGTCTGGATATAAAGGGACTTTAGAGATTATTCCGATTCCCATGCACAGAAATATTTAAGAAAGATAACTTTTTATGTAGAATTATTTCCTATTATTCTATCTAATATGAATTTATTTATTAATTTATCTTTATTAAAGAAACATACAGCCTTGTTTGACACATGCAACCTAAAATTAAGTGGGTTATACATTGGCCTTTTATTGTTTACTTCGTCTTTCCACGTCTTCTATTATGGGTTACATCAACTTTGGGGATAAGCTTATTGATCTAAGAGTCAGACTTATCTTAATTTTTCGAATGATCATAAAGGTTAATATTGCCCACAATGCTAACCAAAGAGTACAAACCTCTAAAATAATTCCACTCAAATGAGTGAAATCTAACGATAAATCAAAACGCTTTCGAAACAAAAGAACGTCATTTT